TAAAATTTTTCAAGTAACCGATAATTCAACGTGAAATTCAAAAGAAGTAAGAAAGTTGACTGAAAAGTCATCTTTATGAAGATGACTTGCACAAAATGTTTTCTTTAATATACTTTCTATAAAAAAGGAAGAGTCTTGAAAGTTTTGAAACTTTTTTACTTTTGCGATAGTCATGCTTATTCAATGTTAGACGTTTGAACAATTTCTGCATTTACAATTAAGTCACAGGAGCTAATGATAATGATCAGTAAAATGCAGATTTGAACGATAATAATATCATGATCATTAGTATCGTTATCACAAAGCACAGGTACAAGCCCAAATATTAATACGAATACAAATACACATATCTCATCATTTATTTAAGAAGGAAAAGTATCTAATTGTCAGAAAACTTTTGCAATTAGTCATCCTTATTTTATAATGTAAGAAATTTGAAAGATTTCTGTCTTAAAATCAGATCTTTAGAAGCTAATGATAGTGATCGAAAAATGAATAATAGAAATGTCACAATCACTAGTATCGTTATAACAAAATACACGTACAATATTAAATACAAATACCAATACAAATACAAATACAAATACAAAGTACAAATTCACATACACCATAAGAATCAGCATCATCACTAGGAAAAAAAAACGAGTCACGTCATTAGTTACACACTACCTTCGGCTTCGTTGCGAGTGTCAAGGAAGGGAAAAGAGAAAGGGGATGAGGGGTGAAAGAGAAAAAGGGTGGGAAGGGAGAGGTGGAAGTGAGGGAAAAGCGGAACGCTTGCGCCCCGTAACCGCGTGGCCGCTTTTCAAGCGGCCACCTGTGCACCCACCAACCAACCCACCCTCTTCTTCATCCCTCATCGAAAGCACCATCGTCGGCGGCAGCTTTCCCCCATATATATAAAGGGATCCACGGTGTCTTCTACACTTCGCATCATTACCGCGGCAACGTGCGACGATTCACCTTAACCAACCGACGCTGATCTTACTACACAACATATTATATATACATATATATATATATATATACTGTTCATCCAGTTAAATATATAGTTTTTAATTTTTTTAAATCTCATACAAATTCTAATACAAAAATCGTGGTAATCTTCTTTCTCTTTCTAATTACAAAATTTATCCGGTTACACTCGACGAACTATCAAGTAAGTAAACTGTTATTTTCTAAATTGTGGTTTTATTTTTCTTCTCTTTCTTTTTTTTTTTAATTATATCGAATCATATTATACAATTTGATATTGACACCTATTAGCAAAATTATTTTTCTGATTTGGTTTCTTTTCTGATCATTATTTTCGAAATTGTGGTTCTATTATTTCTGTTTTATTTTTTTATTTTTCATTTTAAAAGCTTCTAGATGGGGCTAATAATTTATTCTTTTTTTAATTAAATCGAACAATATTATATAATATGATGTTGACACCTATTAGCAAAATCATTTTTTTTTTTATTTGGGTTTCTTTTCTGATCGACACTCCTGGTGTTTCTTTTTCTTATTTTTCTTATTTTTAACATATTTTTTATTTATAAAATTCCAAAGAAAGAGCACAAGTTAATTCTCAATGTCTGTTATAAATTTGTACGATTTTTCTTTAATTTTTTTATAATAATTGTTCGGATAGTTTAGATGTAAAACTTCGTTTACATTGACCGATATATATTTAAGTATTTATATAAGTATACATATATACAAACCCAAATAATTAATTTTTTGTTTTTCTTAAACTCGAATGTATTTCCTACTCCTAATGTTAATTAAAAAGGATAGTAATTTGGAGTAATATAGTATTATGTATATAAGTATTTAAGTATATACGTTAATCCAATGTTTGATATTAATTTAAATTTTGTACGTTTTTTTTCTTACATTTTGTTGATAGTTGTTGTTAGCATAGTTTCGATGCAAAATTATGTTTACCTTGACCGATTATATATAACTAAATAATTAATTTTTTGTTTTCCTTAAACTTGAACGCACTTCTTACTCCTAATGTTAATTAAAAGGGATAGTAATTTGGAATGACACGCAACTTTTAAACTTGAAGAAACATTAGGGAATTAGATTGGCAAACTCGTTGAAAGTTCCTGTCTCTCTCTCTCTCTCTCTCTCACATTCTCTCTCTCCCTTATTCTTTCTCATTTCACCCTCTTCTTAGTAATTTTATAATACTCTGTTTAAGAAACAACGTTCGTCGTCGTTATCACATTTTCATTCGCGTTAAGAATACGTCGTGATTTGTCACGATTATTTTCTCTTATTTATCAAAATTAGAAATCTTAACTAGTAAACAAATTATTCACGTACGATTTTCATGATTTACTTTACGGAAGCTTGTGAAATTATCCTTTGTAACTTGCACGAAAATGTATGTTTTCAACGTGTACTCGGGAGACGTGTTAATATGAAAATTCCAAAAGCACCCTGCAATAACCGAGAATCTATGCAAAAGTTATTACACACAAGGTGGTTTAAGATTAATAGAAATCTCTATTATTTATACGATGTTAGGTATACATATATATATATATATATATATATATATATATATATATATATATATATATATATATATATACGTATTGGTTAAATAGGTGACAAAACAAAATACGAAATAATTGATTATACGTTACATTTTAAAATAAATAACATCTAATATGCATCTGTATGCACCATTTTATCCAATACATACACTTATATACATTTATTATGATGATATGCATAATCCGATGATGACACAGATACATTGCTAGAAATTCAAGCAACGATTTTTCTTTTTTTTTTGTTTTAATTAAAAAACAACATCTCGTTTCTATTCAATTAACATTTCAACAATATCGATTCCATTTGTTTATTCATTTATTATTATTATTATTTATTTTTTGTTTTTTTTTTTTTAATTTATTATTCTTTATTGATGTATACTGTCGAAAAAAAAATTATTGATCAGAGAAAAACCATCCCCCTTATCGATACAAAATTTGCCAATTTTTCGTTTTGTTGCATTTGCACGATAAGCCGATGCATGTGGTGGTTTCTGATGGATGCCATGAAAAAACAAAAATTCGTCGTTCGTTCGGAAAATATTAGTACGTCCATTGTCGTAAAAAATCATCCAATAAAAAATAATATACTTTTTTGAGGCTTGTATAATGTTGGTTGTGGTTTCCTTCCTTCCTTCCTTCCTTCTTCCTTTAGCTTAATCTTGCCTACTCGATCTGAGAATAGTCATTTTTCTAAATATGATCCCCTACTTTCTGATCGTAAACAGTGATTACGGTTTTTACTTGAACGTATTTCCTCTCTTTATGGGTTAACGTCAATATAAAGTTATAGGTTCAGGAAATATCACTTTTTTCTTTTTGTTTTTTACTATCGAACGATAGTTCTTTCTAACATAAGTCTATTTGCGCAAAGAAAGACAATGGGAGATGGTATTAAATGTCTTTTTTATATGCGTGTATAATAATAATATTTTTTTTTATACATTTTTCTGTTCAATTACAATTTTCTAAATTGGTTTTATTTTTTGGATCGATATCTAAATAATTGTAAAATAAAAATAAAAAAATTAAAAATACAAAAATAAATAAAATCAAATAATTGTTTTGATCAATTTAACATATTTTTATTCATAGAATAATATAATACAAGGTACGATCCTTTATATATACGTGTATAATAATAATTTTTTTTTCTTATAAATTTTTCTTTTCGATTTGCAAGAAGTTATTATCCATATCTAAATAATAGTAAATAAAAAAAAAAATTGTTTTGATCAATTTAACATATTTTTATTCATAAAATTAGAAAACAAGATATGATTTTGCATAAAAAACAATTACGTTGATTCCGAAGGATTCTACACGAATAGTTGTTTAATTTTATTTTCAATAGATACTTTCCTTCGCGAAAATTCTGCTAAAGGAAAAAAAAAGTGTGATCTTTTTGTTTTTTAGAAAAGATATAACAATGAATACAAAGAGAGATAATTAAATTTAGTATTAGTATTGAAGTTTTATTTTGTTCGTAGCTTAAATTGATTTTAATTTCATCCCTCCCCCCCCCACCCTTTCCGATATGGAGTCTGTCTTTGTTTTCTTTTTAATTCTTTTTGATTTTTTTTTCTCAAGAGAAAAAGTAACTCGATTTGGAAAAGAGATTTATTATTCTTTTTTTTGCAAACATTTGATAGGTTTATTTGCGTGTGGAATTCCCGCCGAAAGTTCCCCGTCACTCGTTGCCCTTTTGACCAATCGATCCTTTTTCATTCGTTTATATTTGTAAATACAAAAAGAAAAAAAAAAGGAGGAAAAATGAAGAAGGATAAATGTGAAATACGATGCCACGAGAAGAAAATGATTACGTAAATATAAGAAATCGTAGGGATGTATTTAAAATGCAAAAGAATATGAGTTTGATCGTTATGGTGATAAAAAAAAATAAATAAAGAAAAGAATAAGAAGAATAAAAAAAAAATAATAATAATAAGAAGAAGAAGAAGAATCAATTGTTCGGGGGTGTTTTAACAGTCTCACATGTCTTCGACAATATCTAAACAATTTTTATTATCTGTTATCATGAAAGAGAGATCACGTAATCACATATTATATATTCATTCAATATATATATAGCTTATTATTATATTATAACAATTATCTGCGAGAAAGAAAAAATAGAATAAAAGATAATACAAAAAAAAATTTATTTTAAAAATATTACTAATTATTATTAATTTATTTATTTAAAAAATTATTTAAAAAAATAGAATAAAAGATAAATAAAAAAACAATTATTGTAAACATATTACTAATTATTATTAATTTTTTTATTTAAAAAATCACTAAAAAAATTACAATAAAAGTTAATGCAATAAAAAACATTTATTTGATTTTTGATAATTTTGTTCTTTCTGTTATAACAATGAAATTTTGAGAAATTAACAGTTTACTTGATCAACTAAACTGTAATTCGTTAGAATCGTTTGTACAATTATTGTAAGTGTTATTCGTTCATCATTCGCATCGGAATGTTTATTGAATTTTCGCATTGTTTTCGTTTGATTAGTTTGAAAATCCATTAAGAACTAATTAGAAGGATAGAATGATACGTCAAAAAGCAATGTGTTTATATACGTTTGCTTATTTAACACTTCGTTTATTTCATATTAATGGTAATACGTATTTTCAAGTATGTACGTAAATGATAACGTGTGTTTTCCTCGAACGATCTCTCGACAATCATAAAATTTATAATATACGTAGACATCGAATTATAATTTAATCTATTTCGTTTATCTAACGTCGAAATATTCCTTCAAAAATTTATGCGAAGGTTTTTTATTTATTTTTTTTTAAATATTATAATCATTTGACCTAATCGAGACCACGATTTTTTTCAAGCACGATTCCCAGGAGCCATTTTTTTCTCATTATATTGTTCATTTTTAATAAAAAAACTTGTGTGTCTACTATGAAAATTACCCAATTTGTAAGTGAATTCGCATAAATAAGCTGATTGCACACAGTGTTTTCTGCTCGCTCGTCAGCAAATTTTTATTTGCGAGGAGCAGATTGAACACCATGTGTTCAATGTGAAGTAAAATAAAAATACATCATTAAAATGGATAAACATTTATTTTAAAAACTAGGATGCCCCGGCCAAGCGTTGCTGTGTTGTTATAAAATGTTGATCTAATATAATTTTAAACTTTTTAGTAAATTATAACAACGCAAAAAAGAATATCACAATTATATTAAAATACATAAAATAATAATACACGAAAAAATATAATAAGTAAGGTTATGTCGTATATAAATTCAAATAATTGAATTGAAATACGATGCCATCTATTGAATACTCAAACAACCTAGAGACCTAGATAACCTCTAAATAATAAATCTTTAAATTTGCAATACAAAATACAAAATAATTGCGATAAAAATTATCCTTATATCCTAAGTTGAAAAAAAATCACACAAAATAAAAATAATTTCATTAAGATCGGTTCAGTAGTTTCGTTATTCATTAGAAACCAACAATATGACAATGTGTGTGTGTGTGTGTGTGTGTGTGAATTTTTATAGATTTGTATAAAGATATATTTGGACAAATATAACTTCCAATTATCGATCGGTGTCCAACTCTCATCTCGCTTCCTTTTCTTTTATTTTTTTATTTTAATTTTTGATTGTAATACCCTAAAGACATTTTTTTCGTAATCGTAGATGTGAATGATGTGAAATTTCTAACTCGTGATTATGCAAATGTCTTCTTCTTACGCTTGATATCTCTTTGAGTGCTAAATACTATTTGCTGCTAAAGTGTTTAGTAGGATTTTAATAATCAATATGCAAAACAACATTCAATTATTTTCATTTCTATTGAAAAACACCTATATGCACGCTTGGTTGCTTTTACTAAACGCATATATGCGTTTATAGGACTGAAAGAGTTAAAGTCAAGTCACCGCACACGTTATTAGTTCTGTCATATGTAAATCTGAAAATAACATATGACGTGAAATTAATTGAAATAATTGAATTGTAATACAGCGTCATTTATTGAAAACTTACAGAACCTAAAGATTTAGATAACCTCTAAATAATAAATCCTTAAATTTATCCTTTTAAAAAAAGAGGAAATAAAATCCTTAAATTAAAAAAAAAATCATAAATATACAGAACAAGAAAAGAAATAAAAAAAAAAGAGGAAAGGATAACATAAGTTAAGAAAAATTTTAAAAAATACAAAACAACATAAGATCGGATAATTTTCTTTGCTTATTAATGGAAATTATTATAATTAATATTAATTAATATATATTATATATATTATTATTATTAACACTTTAATGGCCGCTCACACAACATGTGTGATAGCCGGAACCACCGTTATTTGCTCTTATTTATTTATAACTTTTTATATATTTAAAATTATATAAAATTAAAGTTGTTGTTAAATTGTTGTTGTTGTTATTTTTATGTTAAATTTTTCGTGAATTTAATAAAGTTTTTGTAAATTAATTTTTCCAAAATATTACCGGCTCCTGGCGATGTTTGACTACGTAGACGTGCGGCCATTAAATTGTTAATAATGAAAAACAGAATATAGTAAACAGAAAATTTAAAAAAAATAGGAAAAAGTCAAAAAAATTTAGTTGAATATTGAAGAAAATAATATAAATGAGAAATAAAATTTTGGAAAAATGGTCGAAAATTTAATAAGGTTATGCAACTCGGTAAAGAAAAAGAAAATATAATTTATAAATAGATTTTTAGGAAATAGTGCACCGATTGTAATATTAAAATTGTATTGATATTTTGTAAAAAATGTAGATTTCGATAATTGTAATAAAATTTCCTTTTTTTTTTTTGGATGCTATAAGACTAATTCCGTATTTTGTTTCTCTATACTATAAAGATAATATTTATATAAAGAAAAGAGTCTTATCTCGACGAATACTTTACTCAAAATAACTGGTAATAGCTCATTATTATGATTGCATGCAGGATGCGCTGCAGGGTCTTTTTGTAAAAGAAAGTTTTTGTACACACGGTGTGCAAGTGCGTCTCGAATGGGTTGATTAAATCATCGATTAGAGTTTAATATTCATTTTGATTTTTATCTTTTATAGAAAATCCAACATGAGGGCTGAATTTTGCTTGAGAACCAGCATTCTTTTAGTCATCTTCGGTGGCATCGTTTGTGCAGTGGAAAATTACGTGGATTATGCAGGTACGAATGTATTATTGTTATTATTATTTATATATTTTTATTTTTTATTCTTTCTTAACAACGTATTTATTTTGTCACAAAAAATATTGGTATTAAATATTAATTTAATAGAAATTCGTAGTACAAGGAAAAGAAAATGGAACTCGTTGTATTTGCAAATTCTATTAAATTGTAAGAAGCTTTTACATAAGCTGCTTTATTTTAAATATCGTATAATCAAAAGTTGAAATGTTTTATATATTCGAACATTTAACCATGGGAAATTATTAAACAAAAGAATGTGCGTAGTTCTCTCTCCTTTCACACTCGATAGAAATGAAACTCGTATTATAATATGTGAAAAATACTCAATTCATTCATGTATACATATATACTAGGGGTGTTCTTTTAAATCGTATTACATTTTTACGTTTACTAGATTTTCTTTTGAAAATTATTTGTATAGTGCATTGAATATGAAGAAAATTTAGAAATAAATACATTATTAACACTGTAATTATATATTTAGTGGTCTCATTTGAAAGCTTTATTTGTAACAAGTTAATTAAACAAATAGGAAAATAATGTATAAGAAAAGTTACAGATCAATACTTTAAAATCGCACATATTAGTATAAAAAGGGGAATATATTTTGTTTTTTTTTTGTTTTTACTGTTATTTAAATGTCTTTTAGTATTAGAATCAGTTTAATATTACAAATAAGAATAAATAAAAATTATATTTGTTTAAAAATAACGTATTTATTAATATACTTGGAATATTAAATAATTTTGATTTGAAATTTTTATTAGATGAAAATTTTTCATTCGAAATAATCACTGACTGTGTGAATGTTAAAATAAATGTATTTTAATTTAAACAATTAAAAAAATATTATTAGAATTTTTTGATATATCTTAAATAAAAAATTAATTAATCGAAAGAAATGTTATTTAGAATTGTTATTTAAAAACATGGAGTATAAATTCAACGTATCGTTCTCTTCGAAATTCAACATTAAACTGCGACTCACTGTCAAATGTGACAATTATTTTATTTATTATTGTTTACATAACTTTCATAAAGCTATAATTAAAATAATATTCGTAATAAATAAAATTTAAAAATATAACATTTTGATTTTAATTTATATCTAATTATTTTTATATTATTATTTTTATAATATACATTCTTTTCATTTGTATAGAATTATTTAAACTAAAAAGTATATTTGATTTAATGTTTCCTGTGAAGTGATTATTTCTAAGGTAACATTTTTTGTTTAATAAAATATCAGATCGAATTTATTTAATATTCTAAGTATGTTAATAGGTATACAATGTTTAAACCAATATGTATATGTGTTTAATCAATCTTAATTATTAAGAGAATATATTAGAGTATTAAACATACCTTAAATAATTATTAATTTATTGAGAGAAATGTTAATTGTAGTTTAAAAGCATGGAATATAAATTTAACGTACCTTCTTTTTCTTCGAAATTCAACATTAAACTGATTCATTTTTAACTATGACAATTCTTTTATTCATTATTGTTTATATAACTTTGCTAAAGCTCTATAACGAAAATAATATTCGTAATAAATAGAATTTAAAATTATAACATTTCCATTTTATCATTCTTTTAATTTTTATATAATTATTTAAATTAAAGTATATTTGATTTAACGTTTTCTTCCTTTAACCGATTACATCAAAGATAAAATATTCGTCTAATAAAATATCAGATTGAAATTTTTTATATTCGAAGTATATGTAATTTTTAAACGATTGCACTTTCTACAATATTATTCTTACTTTAATGGGTATTAAAATAAGAATAAGACGCCCACACCATTCACACACACACACACACACATACACACACTCACATATACACACGACTGTTAATTAATCGTAAGTTCTATTTGATTCTGTCACTCCTTCTTTTTTCGTGTCATATTTTTTAAATCTTTTCGTTACCATCGTTAAAAGAAGTTTCACTTAAAATAACATAAACAAAATGTACGTTAGAATTGTTTATATATATAATTGATATGTAAATATATATATCATATACATATCAATTTAATAATAATAAATAATTAAAAATAAATAATAGAAAATAATTAATAATAAATAAATAAAGATAAAAAATTAATAAAAAATAAATTATATATGAAATAAAATAATTAATAATAAATAAATATAAATAAAAAGTAAATAAAATAAAATAAAATAAAATAATAATTAATTTTTGTTATAAAATCGAATATTAGTAATACAAGTGATAAAATAATGATTTGATGTTATAAATAATAGAAAAAAAAAATAAAAGAATCATGTATTTCATTTTTCTATCCCTCAATGTGATGGAATCGAAGTATTTCATTTACAAAAGAGAACGTTTTAACTACCTACACGAAACGCACAATGGTTTTAATAAAATCGTTGAACCGTTTGAAAAATGAAAAAGAGTTACGCCAGTTTTCAGACATCGATGCTTCCATCCATTGGAATTTTGTATTTCTACAATCAATAGATACCATAGAAATTTTTTATTTCCGTTTTTATTCCATATACCAATATTATCACTCTCTTTTTTCCTTTCTTCTTCTCTTTGTTATTATTCATACAAATTTTAACGTTACAAACATATATTTTTTGTTTGATCGTTTTTTTATATTTATAGATGCTTTTACGATTTATTATTATTTTCGATTTATCACATTATTTGCAAGCGTCATATTTTCATTATGATCAAAACATTTTTTTATTGTTCTAATTTTGATATTTTTTTTCGATAAATCTTATCCTACGTATATGGTTTATTTATGAATACAAAAAATATGTTTTTTTTTCATAGCTGTATCTTACGGGGAAAGGGGAAAAAAGATTAAAAATGAAATAATTGATTAACTTATACATTTTTGTATTAATATAATAATATATGTAATTATTCTTATTAATAATTAATAATACACATATTTTATATTAATATATTAATATAAATAATAATAATAATAATAATAATAATAATAATATATACTAATAATAATAATAATAATAATAATAATAATAAATACATGCACAAATTAAATATCGTTTAAAAAAAACCAGACATCTTTTCCAAACACAGAAAACTAAATTTTTTGTTAGATATAAATTTTGTTAGATTATTTGATAGTGCATAGAACAAAAAAAATAAAATAAAAATACATTTTACGAAATACTATTACAATAGATAATGTTATGAGGATAATATGACTTATTTTGGTCTCATCTGTGAAAGTGTTTCTTATGATAAAGCATCTTCTTACTCTATCATCAATTATTTTAGAACTAGGTATACGATATTAGGGAAGAACCCTTCTTGCCCTTGACATTAACGATAATGGAATACAATACCTGGTCTCCTATTAATTAAGGAATACAATGTTAATCAGCCGAAGGGATACGCACAAATTATTCAAATAAATAAATACATTTGTTAAATGTGTTAAAATGATAGCATTAAATTCAATCATTGAAAATATGAATATGAATTCACGTGAGTGTAAAAATTTATTCGAATATTCATAATATCGTACAAAAATTACAATCGCTCGAAAATATTAAAATATTTTCGATATAAATTATTTATCTCATTTCTTTTGTTCTTTCTTTCTTTTATTTTTTTAATTACGATTGCAATGATAATTTCAAAGTAAAATAAAACATAATAAATAACAGATAAATACTTATTGTATTATTCTTATTTGGATAATAATTGATTATAAAAAAATATTAATTCAAAATAAAACGAAGAACATTATTTACCGTAAAAAAAAAAAACAATTTTAACCACTCACGCATTACCTTTGCACTTCGTCTTCGTACGATAAAATTATTCAACGTCGTAAAAATGCATCATAATATTATTTCGCGACATTAAAAGTATCATTTTTCTTTATTTTATGCAAAAAAGAAAAAGAACGACAAGTTTAACAAAAAACACGTGTTAGTTTTAATAAGAAGAAAAAACAACAGAAAAACTTATTCATTTCAATTAAACGTATGTAATCATAAATCTTTAAAAAACAAAAGAAAATCACGAATGAATCTTTTAAATAATATTCCAATAACCAATGAATTCATCGTTTTATTACAAGTTTTTATATTACTGTACTTTTTTTCTTGTTTTTTTTTTTTTTTATAGACGAGTCACCTGACAAATCACCGACCGAGAATATTCACGAGCTTTACAGACTCATATTGCAACGGAACGCTTTGGAAAATGGCGGCGGATTTGGTGGAATTCCATTGGAACATCTGATGATTCGTAAATCTCAACGATCACCGTCTCTTCGTTTACGATTTGGACGTTCTGGTCCACCACAAGTTTCAGTAAGTAAATTTAAATTAAAACAACAAAGGTGAGAGAAAGATTTCATGAAAATGAAAATTTTATTTCATGAACATTTTTTTGATTTATTCCCAAAAGATACAGGATGTCCCATTTAAATCGATCCACACGAATATTTTCAGTTATTCATGAAAAAAATGTTTGTTTATCACTTCAACCAGATTTATCTTTTGTTTAATTGTAAAACATTTTTTTTTCTATTATCAACAATTTCGAAGATATTCAAGTAAATGATTTAAATGATACATCATCCTTTATAAATATACATATATGTATTTTTTTCTTTCCTATTTTTTCTTTTATATTTTTTTATTTTTATTTTTTATTTTCGTTGAGAAGATCGAGATTCCGTTTTGTGATCGGTGAACTGTACGAGTTAATACTATCAAAGGCACACAAGGTTAAAGTCTTGAATGAATTTCTTTTGAGACAGTATCTTCGATATTAAAAAATATAATATTATATATACACATATATATGTTAATTATTATATTTATTATATTATAATAATATTATATATTAACTAACATTATATAAAAAATAATATAAAATATAATATAATAATATAATAATAATATAATATATAACAAAATTATGTAATATTATTATATTACTTTAATACTATTATTATTATTATTAATAAGTATATAAATATTATCTAATAATTATATTAATTATAAAATAAATAAAAATATAATATAATTATATAACATAATATATAATATATAACATATATATGTAGATATTATCTATATGTGTATATATAATACTAACATAATATTATATTACCATTTATATAATTATATATTATGTTATATAATTATATTATATTTTTATTTATTTTGTAATTAATATAATTATGCATTATATATATATTTCTACACAGATATTGTATAATATGTCTTATTTCAATTCATAACTTATTTACTTATTATATACAGACCGCTTAAAAAATATATTAGCATAACTCGAGGGGATTGGTTTTAGTCGTTAAAATAAGAAAACAAAAAAGTACAAAAAAAGGATCCTACAACAAATATTATTTTCGATATTGACCTTGTTACCGAAAGATACCATCTTATATATATTATACGTTATTTTTAAACTTATTCTATATGCATTATAAATATGTCTAATATCATCGAAAACCTTTTCAAAATACGAAGAAAAGAAATATTAGATTATAATTTATTTGTTTATATAGTAAAAATATGAATTCGTAGTAAATCAATGTGGCTAAAGGTCATTCTGTAAGTATTATATGTCATAATGTAAGTATTATAAAAAGAAATGATACAAATATACAGGATGTTTCGTAATATACGTAGGAGTAAAAAGGAATCGAATGTCTGTAAAGTTTTTAGTATATCAGGTAACAAATACAAATTTGCAAAGCAACAGCAGCAACAGTAAGAGAATGACAAGACACATTACTTCAATTTTTATATTTATTGGTATATATATCTAACTTACATACAAATAGTAGACATATAGAAAAATAAAGTGGTTACAAGGGGTTATTGATCGTTCTTAAAGTGACGCGTCTTTGAGAAATAACTTTTTGAAGGAAACAACCAAAAGCAATTTCCAGTCTGTCGCTTACGATCGTTCGAAATTTTTTTTTTATATAAATAGACACGTACTATAGATAACCATATTCTATGGTTAGATCGAAGAAGAAAAAATGAAAATAATAATGAAAGAGAGAGAGAGAAAAAAAATAATAAGAAGTATAAAAAACTATATATATATATATATAAAATTCTGGTGTCACAGTGTTAGTAACCAAACTCCACCGAAACGACTTGACCGATTTTTATGAAATTTTATGTGTATATTCGGTAGGTCTGAGAATAGGACGTAAACTATTTTTCATACCCCTAAGTGATAAGGGTGGTCCACCCCAAAAATTTTTTTCTTATTTTTTTATGATTTGGCATTAAAAAATACATACAAGCCCAAATTTTCACCCTTCTATAACTAACCCCCATTTTTGAATAATCATATTAGTACTTTAATAATTTTCAACCCTTGGTGGTCGATAACTGATGTCCAGTACTAAATCCTTTGAAGACAATAAACTTTATATTTGTTATTTTTATAATATTCAATTTCTGTGAAACAGATCCTGCGATGAGCCTATAAAATAAAATATCATAAAATACAATAGTTAGTAGGTATAAGGTATTGTTTACTTAAAGAATAAGAAATTCCAAAGGGCCGTAAATCCCATACTATCTCAATGATCAAAGAAACATATGGTGCAAAGAAAAAACCCTTTTACATTGTTGGGTCCTTTGAAATGTTATACAATACTATGTAAATATGAGGTAACACAGAAAGAAAGAAAATTCCTCATAGAGAATATTCTTTAGGTTAACCCCCATTGCAACCCTTTCCCTAAAACATAAGATTTTTTATTTCACTACCAAAATATTCACTAGAAATAATTTATATGGCAAAACAACGTTTTCCGGGTCAGCTATATATATA